TACACTCTGGTCTTGGTCTTGTGTTGGTCTCGGGTTAGGTGGTCTTGAACACAACACTGCCTGCTGTAGATGTTTGATTTTTTTTTTTCTTAACTCATAAAATTCCTGATCAAGAACAAAACGTTAAAAGATTATTGGGACTTAGTTTCTCCCCTAAAAGAGGAAAGTATGTTGAAAACAAAAACGTCAAAAAAACATTTAAGGTTAAATCACTAAATCTGCATGAGATCCAGGCATGTGCTTTGACTAGGCCCCGGACGTTGTTGGATTAACTGGTACGTTTTGGTTTATTGTTATTTTGCAGGTCCAGTTCTAATTTAGCTTTAATTTATAAATTTTTATGAATGAATCTGGAATCTAAAACAAAATGCAATAAGAAAATATAGACTACATTTCCAATTATTTTGTCAAACATCTCCTGTAATAAGTGAAAAAAATATCTTGTAATATCAAATATCTTGTAATAAGTGAAGAAATCTGCAGGTGGAACTAGTATTATTTTAATATTAAGGAGGCATTCTAACTTATCTTACAGAAAATTTTATTTAGTTCCTTCTTATTTTAAGTGAACTAAAATATTTGCACAAGGAAACTGTTGGGATGACGGTTAAACATTCATTACCTTCAAAGCCGTTCCCTGGCCGGAACCAAGACTTGTTATTCTATATTTTCCTGCACAGACATGCAGGGGAGCTGGAGGTGAAAGCTGATTGGCTGCACTGATGTGTAGATCAGAGCTCAAACTGGTTTCTGTGTTCAGGAAGTAAAACTCACACAGTCACTGTGACTGAGAGCAGGAATGGAGCAGAATCAGCTGGATCGAGAAACCGTCTCATGTCCGATCTGTCTGGATCTACTGAAGAATCCGGTGACCATTCCCTGTGGACACAGCTACTGCATGAGCTGTATCGAAACCCACTGGGATGAAGAGGATCAGAGGAGGATCCACAGCTGCCCTCAGTGCAGGGAGACGTTCATACCGAGGCCTGCTGTGAAGAAAAACACCATGTTTGCAGCTTTAGTAGAGCAAATGAGGAAGACTGGACTCCAAGCTTCTCCTGCTGACCACTGCTATGCTGGACCTGAAGATGTGGCCTGTGATTCCTGCACTGGAAGAAAACTGAAAGCCATCAAGTCCTGTTTAGTCTGTCTGGCCTCTTTCTGTGAGAAACACCTTCAGCCTCATTATGATTCAGCTGCATTTCAGAAACACAAGCTGGTGGAGCCGTCCAACAACCTCCAGGAAAACTTCTGCTCTAAGCATGATAAGTTGCTGGAGATCTTCTGCCGCACTGATCAGAAGTGTATCTGTTATCTCTGCACTATGGATGAACATAAAGGCCATGAAACAGTGTCAGCTGCAGCAGAAAGGACTGAGAGGCAGAGAGAGCTGGAGGAGAGACGAGGAAACATCCAGCAGAGAATCCAGGACAGAGAGAAAGATGTGAAGCTGCTTCAGCAGGAGGTGGAGGCCATCAATCGCTCTGCTGATAAAACAGTGGAGGACAGTGAGAAGATCTTCACTGAGCTGATCCGTCTCCTCCAGAAAAGAAGCTCTGAGGTGAAGCAGCAGATCAGATCCCAGCAGGAAACTGAAGTGAGTCGAGTCAAAGACGTTCAGGAGAAGCTGGAGCAGGAGATCAGTGAGCTGAAGAGGAAAGATGCTGAGCTGGAGCAGCTCTCACACACAGAGGATCACAACCAGTTTCTCCTCAACTACCCCTCACTGCCAGCACTCAGTGAGTCGACACACTCATCCAGCATCAACATCCGTCCTCTGAGACACTTTGAGGACGTGACAGCAGCTGTGTCAGAGCTCAGAGAGAAACTACAGGACGTCCTGAGAGACTCATGGACAAACATCTCACTGATGGTCGGTGAGGTGGATGTTCTACTGTCAGAACCAGAACCAAAGAGCAGAGCTGGGTTCTTAAAGTATTCATGTGAAATCACTCTGGATCCAAACACAGCAAACACAAAGCTGGGCCTGTCAGAGGGGAACAGGAAGGTGACGAGAATGAATCAACCTCAGTCTTTTTCTAGTCACCCAGACAGATTCACTAATTATTCTCAGGTTCTGAGCAGAGAGAGTCTGACTGGACGATGTTACTGGGAGGTGAAGTGGAGAGGGTTTTGTGTTTCTATAGCGGTCGCACACAAGGATATCAGCAGAGTGGGAGATGGGAATGAATGTAGATTTGGATATAATGACAGATCTTGGGCTTTAGTGCGTTTCCAAACAGATTTTCAATTTGTGCACAACAGAACCAGGACCTCCATCTCAGGTCCAGTTTCCTCCAGAGTCGGAGTGTACCTGGACCACAGAGCAGGTCTTCTGTCCTTCTACAGCGTCTCTGAAACCATGACTCTCCTCCACAGAGTCCAGACCACATTCACTCAGCCGCTGCTGGCTGGAGTTTGGGTTGGAATAGGATCTGCAGAGTTCTGTAAACTCAAATAGATTTTCTCTCTTGATTGTTGATCACGGTTCATTGCTCTGGTGTCTCTGCTCTGCTGTTCTTCTTTACATTTTATTTTTAAAATGTAGTTTTGTGTTCGGGAGCCATAAAGCAAATCACTGCTGATGTTTTCTTTCATTCTTATATGACAGAAATATTTCTCCACATGAAAATCCGAATTTCTATTAACTCTAGTAGTGTTACGTTATTTGTATTGATGTATTTAGATATTCTGGTTTCTCTTTCAATGTTCTGCAGAGCTGATGTTCTTGATGCAAACTGAATTTGATTCAGTTTTCTTTATTGGAATCCAAAGAACTCAACTCAACAACTCAAAATTTATGTACTTTCTTTCCAATTTTCTTTTAGTTTTAATTCAGAAAAATTTATGTTTTCTGTTCTGTCTCTGACTTTCTTCAAGAAAACAATTTGATTGCAGAAAAATGTGGAACGTTTTCTCTTCATTATTACAATAAATTGTGAGTTTAGCCACCTAAAATGTAGAATAATTTCCTTCAGTGTCTCGTGATGCAGGAAAAAAATCAGATGTTTGGTTTCACCTTCATGCACCAAGAACTCTCCGCTTCCACCACTGCTGCAGAGAGATTACAGGCACTGATCAGTTAACCTGTCATTAAAATAAATATCAAATAAATCGGCAATTTTTATCATTAGATAATTGGTTCATTTTTTATTTTAAAGATATTAAAAGTCAGACTTTACAACGTCGGCGGCTCTCACAACTCTCCATCCATTCACCTTTGTTGCAACTGTAGGTGGTTTGGCACGTAACCCCACCTATCCTCACGTCACTCCCACACTAATCCACCAGGTGGCGCATTTGGCAAATCTCCCCATTTGCCTTCAGTCTAGCTCAATATGAATCCAGCAGTAAGTTTTTAAAGTTTGGCTGAGAACTGACCTGGTAAACAGGAGTTATTGTCACTTCCTGTTTTGTGGTGAATGATTGGCAAGTACTTCCTGCAGGCTTTTGAACCCGTATGTGATTATCAAGGGTTAGTGGATACAGTTTCAAGGAGAATAATTATGTTGTTCAATATCATCAAACACAGGTTTAAACCTGTATAAAGCAAATAGTAATATGAAGAAAACCAGCAGGAGGTGACTTCCTGTTCAAAGGGGGCGTGGCCAGGTGATGTCACCAATTCACCATGTGAATATGATCATTGCTGGTTTGTTATGACACATACAGTCTCATGCAGCTATATTATTGTTTATTGAAGTTATGTCATCCTGATGTTTTATGGGAAATAGATTTTGAGGCCACGCCCACATGCTTTGATGCAGCAAATCGTTTTTGATAACTTTTGATCTCTAATGTCTCAAGACTTTGAGTGATTATGAAGTTCTATGTCAAAAGCTGTAGAATACAACATGTGTAGAACAGACTAAATGATCCAAAATGGCCGACTTTTTGTTCACTCCAAGAGACGTTTTGATTGGACCTGAGATGACACGTCTACTGAATTACATGATTCTTGGTCAAAGCACAGCTTGGGGCTGATTTTTTAAAGACTCCTAGGGGGCACTCTGGATAATTTAGGCCACGCCTACTAAATATTCGACTGCTTTCCTGTTTGTGGTTGGACCGGGACAAATCATGGTGAGTTTGATGCAGCTTGGCTGGAAAATGTGGACGTTACAGCCATACGTAGGGCAAGGACGTGACATTTGACTTTGCGTAGCCTTCCAGTAAAATCTCTTTGTGCTTTAAAGCACAGAGTGTCTTCTGACACAAGATCATCTTGATTAGGAATAAGGGTTTGGAGATGGAGCTTTCCAAGAAAAACAAAGTTATTTCCTGTTTCAGAGCTTTCATGAGTAATTTAACACAGATTGCACATGCCAAGTTTGGTGCAAATCGGTCCGTCTATGTGAAAGTTATAGTATTTCGATGGCTTTGGCGAGTATTGGCCCAAGATGCATATTCACCAAAGATTAAGCCAAATAAGCTCAAAATCCCTCAGATTGGTTAAAGTTCAAGGTGTATAATTGTCAAAAATCCACTGGGATGAAGAGGAGAATCCACAGCTGCCCTCAGTGCAGAGAGACGTTCATACCAATGCCAGTTTTGAAGAAAAACACCATGCTTGCAGCTTTAGTGGAGCAGATGAAGCAGACTGGACTCCAAGCTGCTCCTGCTGATCACCGCTATGCTGGACCTGAAGATGTGGCCTGTGATTTCTGCACTGGAGGAAAACTGTAAGCCAGCAAGTCCTGTTGGGTCTGCCTGGTCTCTTACTGTGAGAAACCATCAGCTGCAGCAGAAATAACTGAGAGGCAGTAAAAGCTCCAAGTGAGATGAAAACAATCCAGCAGAGAATCCAGGACAGAGAAAAAGTTCTGGTGGTCAAACACAGAGCAGCAGTCCTGCAGCAGCCGTCGACGGGCCTCCGCTGTGGTTGGCATGCCAACCACCATCGGCAGAAACCCTGGTGATGCCTGCAGAGCCAGAGGAGCAGAAGAAGAAGAAAGCTGGGCATTAACTCCTTTTAGCTCAACTCTGGACCTGCTCACAACAGTGTAGGAATATCTACTCAAATTAATGAGAAAATATTCTTTATTCTTTAATTTTGGTGAATTTTAAATCCATTTCTGACACAGTTGGGGTGTTTGTAGAGACAAACCAGGAAATTGTCATTTTGCTGAAATTACTGGTAACACTTTATTTGAAGGGGGTTGAATAAGACTGTCATGACACTGTCATAAACATGACATAACACCTGTCATTAACATCAATAAGTCTTCATGAATATTTATGACTGTTGTCATAAAGCGTCATTCGGTAAATTATGACACTTTTAATACAATGTTGACATTATTCAAAATGTCTTTGTTATGACAACTTGACATTGGCTTTAACAGGACGCTAACATGGGTAAGGAATAAACAGAATACCAATTTCAAATATACAAGAGCTTAACAATATGAAATTAACTTTACAGTTAAAATATTTTAATCAACCAATTCACTAAGCTAATGAGTTAAGTTTATTTCATGAGGAAAATGAAATGTGTTAATTGGTTTTAACTAATTAAGGTTCATTTAACCTTAATTAGTTACACAGCGGGCTGCACAGTGGCACAGTTGGTAGAGCTGTTGCCGTGCAGCAAGAAGGTTCTGGGTTCGATTCCCAGCCCCGGTCTTTCTGCATGGAGTTTGCATGTTCTCCCTGTGCATGCGTGGGTTTTCTCCGGGTACTCCGGTTTCCTCCCACAGTCCAAAAAACATGACTGTTAGGTTAATTGGTCTGTCTAAAATTGCCCCTAGGTGTGAGTGTGTGTGTGCGCATGGTTGTGTGTCTCTGTGTTGCCCTGCGACAGACTGGCGACCTGTCCAGGGTGTACCCCGCCTCTCGCCCGGAACGTTAGCTGGAGATCAGCACCAGCACCCCTCGCGACCCCACTGAGGGACAAGGGTGTTCAGAAAATGGATGGATGGATGGATAGTTACACAGCAACACCTCAAATTTGCTATACAAAAACCCTTATTCCGACAAAATAAGGGTTTTTTTTGGTAATGTTTTATTATTCTGACAAACAAAATCTACCATTATGCCACTCACAAGATGGCAGAAAGAGCATGCCCACTGTCAAAAACACTTTCTCGCTTGCTCTCGGCGAAGGCGGACGCTTTTTTCCTCTGCTCCCTCCCTGCCCTGCCATTTGCTCTGTTTTTGTCCTCTTTTTCTCTTTTTCTATATTTAAACACAACTCCTTCCCACCTCACCCCTCCTTATCCATGCAGCTGTGGAGCTGAGCAATCCCAAGGACATTCCTTGATAACATCTTATCGGACTTCTGCAGGGAGGCTGAGCAACGTGGTTTCATGGCCCTGTGATGTCACTGCCTTCACTCATGTCTTTTTGTCTGAATGTTGCCATTTGCCCCAATGTGTCCTTTCCTCTTTTTTTTTGTCTTTTTTTCCCTTTGGTTTGTTATTTTGTTTGTATTTCCTTTTATTTCATGTAAAGCACTTTGAGTTGCCTTGTTGCTGAAAATGTGCTATATAAATAAAGTTACCTTACTTTCTCCTGGAAGTGGTCATCAGCGTCAGATACCAACAACAAGATGCTACTCGTGAAACGTGTAAACCGGAAGTACGAGCCACATAAGCAACTCGAATGCGCATGCGCTGAAGAATACTTTCGGATTATTCTTAAAATATATATAAAATAACAATATATTTAATTATTTTAATTAAAATACTACTTGCTGTAGGAGGGAATCTGTTTTAGACAATGTTATAATAATTGTCATAATTTAGTTCAAATAATGTAGAAAATTGTGTAAACAAAGTCGCGATGACGTTCTTCCGGTGAACAAACAAACGCGTGCCACTATTTTTTGGATGATAAAACTCTGGATCAAACTCCATGAAAACATGAACTCATTTAAATCATGGCTGATTGTGAACAGGGACTATGACGCATAAAACCGCCTCATCTTTTGATGAGTACTAGTTCCACTGGCAGATTATTTCACTTTTAAAAAGATTTTTCATGTTACAAGTGAAATAATCTGCCAG